CTTTGCTTAAGGCCACTGTCCTCTCTTCTCCTTTCCATGCTTTTGGAGGAAAGGATCCCTGTTAGTACAGTGCCTGCTGACTGAAAGGTTGGTGGTTCAAACACACCAGCCACTTGACTGGAGAAATACGGCCGTTTGCATCTATAACGGTTACAGCCTCGGGCACCCTGTGGGGCATTTCTATTCTGTTCTTGTCCTGTGAGTTGGAATCAACTAGATATCACTGGGGTGGACTTGCTTTCTATGTTCTGAGTGGCACAAATGGTTTGCTTGAAGGAGGGCAGTGTGAGGCGCCCAGCAGCACCGTGGGAAAAAGGCCAGGGGGGATTCTAAGGACTCAGTTCTGCTCTGTGACACTCAGAGTTGCTGAGTCAGAACAGAGTCAAGTACAACAGCTTTTTATTTCATTGTTTCTAACACTGGCTCTGCTGTTTTAATCCGGGGGCAGCTTTTTGGCCTCTTTGTCCTTCTGTTTTCTTATCTGTAAAATGAAGACAATAGTAATAGCTACACGGAATAGCTGCTGGGGGTTCCCGAGCCACATGACCTTAGACTCAGCCCTGTGGTTTAAATCCAGACACCCACCTCCCAACCTGCCTGAATGCTTTCCCTGAAGCCCTGACCCTCACACCCTAAGAACACAGCCCACTGGGAACACCAGAGGAAGGCTTCCGGGAAACAACCCTCAAGCCATGACTGACAGGAGTTAAGTATCAAGACCCCCTGAGGAGGTAATTCTGAGGCAGGTATTCTGTATGTCCTTGGGAGGGGACAACTCTGAGAATTCTTCTTATTTTTTTTTAATTTACTTTTTCTTTTTTTTCTAACTCTGAGAATTCCAAGTGAATCCTGCACTGACTCCCAGGTGTCCCTGGTTAAGTCTTACTTGTTCACAATGGTTACTGCTGGACTTCAGGCCTGCAGTTGGCTGGGTGCCTTCATTCTCCTTTCATTTCCTGCCTCCCCTACATATGTCTCCCCAGGAAAAACTACTTACCCTCACATCGTTGTCTTACAATCCAATTTAATATGTATAGTATATAGGTTAACTATTGATTCCTTTATTAACATATATTAATATTAATGCATTAATTATTAATTAATATACTAATGTTACTAGGTTGATATTTATTTAAAAATAAGGATGGGCAATTTCCTCCCATGTGATTAACTGTCTCTGAAAACCCACCAGAGGGTCAGCTTTGGGTTGGTTTCAACTCAACAGTACACAGCAAACAACAACATATATATATATTGCTGTTGACATGTGCTGTCGAGTCAGAACTCAGAGCTGACCCTCCAGTGGGTTTTTGTTGTTGTTGTTGTTTTCATGTGTCATCGAGTCACTTGCGACTCATAGCAACCCTATGTACAACAGCCCTAAACCCTGCTCTATCCTGTGCCAATCGCACTGTCTCGGACACTCCCATCCCGATAACCCCAGTCACTGAATCAATCTACCTCATAGAGGGCCTTTCCCTTCTGTGCTGTCCCTCCACCCTCCCAAGCGTAACATTCTTTTACAACATGTCCAAAGTAAGTCAGACGAAGCCCCAGAATCCGTGCCTCCAAGGAGCATCCCAGTTTAACCCTCTCCAGGATGAACCTGTTTGTTTTCTTAGCAGTCCATGGTATATTCAATACTCTTCTTCAGCACCACAGCTCAGGAGGAGACAGACCAGGTCTTCCTCAGAGCAACTGGTGGATTTGAACCATGTGCCTTTGGGTTGGCCATGCAGTTCCTTACTATTAGCCCACCAGAGCTCCATGTGTATGTATATATATATATATATAATTGTGTATCTCTATATATTTGACTCTTTTTTATTAGGCATTATTTTACTTATTTTTCTTACTATTTTTATGAATCAATATTACACACATACATTCTTCTTCTTATTGTGCTTGTATATTATATTCTTATTATTGAGCATATATGTTTCTCTTTTCATTGTGATTTGAATGGAACTTTACAAAGCAAATTGGGTTTTAGGGCCTTGATAGTCTGTAGAAAGTTGTGCTGCTGATCCAAAGGCTATACAGCTCTGGCAGTTCAAATCCACCAGCGGCGCCAAAGGAGAAAGATGGACAGTCGCCTCTCATTAAGATTTGCATCCTCGGAAACTCTGGGGAGGGTTGCTTTGAGATGGAACTGACACAACAGCACTAAGTTCTTTTGAGGTTTCAGAGGAAGCTAACTGAAGACAGTAGCAACGAACCTCTTACAACAGCGCCTTTTACCCAGCCCCTGAATAACTCCTCTACTCAGTTTTACTCTGTTGGTCCACTCAGCAATTCTTCCCTGCACCTCCAGCATGAACTGAGACCCTACTTCTTACTGTTCAGAAAGAAGGGAAGATATCCTCTGATGACTGCCTTAATCATCTCATTCCTAACAATTCATGGGGTATAAGGTGAAATAGTATAAATGGAGGCTTTTGCTCTGCCCCCTGAAAACCAGGGCTCTCCCATCGCTGGCAAACCATGCAGTAAAGAGCCTTGTGTCCCCATCTCTGAGCAGCCAGATTAAGTTCTACCAGAAGCTGCCTTCTTTTTTTATTTCTTTTTTTAATTTATTTTATTATCTGACCGGTCAGGAGGAGATTGTCCTCCTTCTCCAGCAGAGCATCTGGTGGATTCAAACCACATACCTCTGGAATTGCAGTGCAGCTTCTTGCCACTAGGCTACCTGAGCTCCCTCAGAAGCTGCTTTCTTAAGCTGCCACCTCAGGCCAGTGGTGAGATCTACCCTCAGGAGGTCTGCACAGACTTTGGAGCTCCAGGTACTACAGAATGTTCTAGAAGGGGCTCTGGTGGACATATTCCCAGCTTCCAGGGCAACATCTAGAGAGGAGCCTTCTACAGAGTGCTGGCTAGCACAGGGACACCAGGCAGCAAGATATAAAGGTGCTACTAGTCTTAGGTTCCTTCCTGAACTTAACAAACCTTTGTGTATCTATACTTGCATCTCATTGCTTCCTTCCTGTTCAAAGGAGGACATATCTCTTCCTATCAGGGGCAAAGTGTTTTTCCGGGGTTCTCTGTTCAGAACTTGGGACCAGGGAGAGGTGGCAGCTGAACTGAGGGGAGTCTTGGCATTAGGATCAGAATGTTCTGGGGTTTAGCTGTGATTCTGTCATTCCCATGATCACAGCTCCATTTCTTTCCTTGCAAAGTGGAGGTCATGGTGTTGATTTGATGTCATTTCTAGAGGAGGACAGAGCCTGCAGCTTGGGGAAAACAACTTCTCTAGGCCTCAGCTAATGTCTTTGGACAACCGGATAATCTGCTTTCCCCTTATCACTGGATAGTGGCATACGATTTCTCTTCCTTCCTTTCTTTTTTTTAAACTCACATTATTCATGGTGACTGAGATATGAAAGTAACCTGTCTTATCAAGGTCTAAATTGCCATTTTCAAAAGGAGTTTTTTATTTGAGTCCTTTGGAAAGTGGTCTGGGAATGGCAGCTCCAACCACCCACAGACCTCATGCAATATTAGTTTCTTTCTTGCGTTTTAAAATAATGCTACAAATAATTTTAAATATAGCCTTTGAACTGTCCCTACCATCAGGGGCATGGAGAGAGAACTCCCAAGAGTCAAGTGTAAATTCTAAATGAGTTCGTATAAACTCACCCAATCCCAGTGCTTCTGCGCTGATCCTGACTCCCTACAGGCCAGAGCAGAACTGCCTCATGGGGTTTGCAAAGCTGTAATCTTTACAGAAACAAACAGTTTCATCTTTCTCCCAAAGAGCTACTGGTGAGTTCGAACCAAGCACTTTAACAGTCCAGCATTTTAACCACTGCACTGCCGGGGGATGCTTCGGAGATTCAAATACCATGGTTCAATTCCCTCCTCTGAAATTGGTGTTCACATTTTCAAGGAGCGAAACAAAATAGGGAGCTCTGGCAGCTTAGTGGTAAGGAAATGCACTACTAATGCAAAGGTACACAGTTCGAATCCAGCAGCTGCTCCATGGGAGAAAGTTGGGCAATGTCCTCTCATACCTCTGCAAACCTGCTGGAAGGTCAGCTATGGGTGTGTTCTCACTCAAAGGTACACAATAACAACAACACCAAAACAAAATAAGAACAAGAACAGAGGAGAATATGTGTACATGACAGAGATCATAAGGTTATCAAAGTTTAATGTACCAACTAGGTCTTTACAGGAAACGTTTGCTGATCTCTGCCCCAAATCACTGAAGACTCACTGAATCTCTTCACCTTCCATTTAAGTCACTCTGGTTATACATGTGATTCTCAGTCTGTCAGAAGTTACCTTTGAGGATATTTGGGGATGGGCTTATGAAGGGTTAAGAGAGGCCTCTGGAACCAAGCACATGGCCATGAGTAATTTTGGAAGGAGAAGGTTTCGGGGATCATGGAACATGTTCCAGACCTAAGAGAGGCAGCACAAACATAGCTCTTAGGGATCTTTTCAAAGCCTTGAGTTCTTGTTTAAGCAGGAGAGGCCAAATAGGAGCCTGGGCATCCCAATCTCCACTCATAGTCAGAGACGTGTGGCCAGGGGAAAAAGGCAAGCTGGTAAAAACTGGGATATAGACTAACTGAGAAGCCTTTGATAACCATCTGAAATTCTTGGTTACACATTTAACTTTGGTTCTGACACCAGGCATCAAAGCAGACCCTTGGAGAAGAGTCCCCACCATTACTCTGTATCTTCAAACCCTACATTCCCAGATTCTCTTCGTTGAGTCTAAAATCACCTTCTCCAGGTACCAGCCAGAAGCAGAGGAAGCAGATTCCTTCTCGAGTTTTGGATTAATTGATGTTATGCTGGTCTCTGAATAGCTTCCTTCTTCTCCTTCTAGTCTTTATTTTTATTTAGACATTGTGGTAAAGGTATATATAACAAAATATTTGCCATTTCAACATTTTCCAAATATACAGCTCGTTGACATTCATTATGTTAACCAAGTCACAAGGCTGTCACCCCTACCCATCCACAAAGTTCAAGGTCTTCTCCACTCTTACCTTCAGTCCTGGAGTGAGGATTTCTTTCTGGTGGACCTGGATGAGTGTGATAGTCACAAGCACCACGATGCTCACAAGCAAGACAGCCAGGGCAATGATGGCTGGTGTCCGAGAGAGTGCCTTGAACCCTAAAATGAAGACATACGAGGGAAAGGGGAATGGAGCAGCCAGACATTGGCTTTCTGTGGAGGATCTGTGACCTGTGCCCACATTCTCCGTACAGATTCTAAACCCTGATTTTCATGAGATCCACACTTTCAAGGGCACTCAGGTTGGATGGAGTCTCGAGGGAGTTTCACTGCTAACCAAAAGGAAGTCTCCAGCAGTTCGAATCCACCAGTGGAGGGAAAAAGATGGGCAATCTCTTCCTGTGGGATTTGCAGCCTCTGAAAACCTCCTGGAGAGTCAACTATTGAATCGCTGATGAATAAACAAATTTGAAGTTGTTTTTGACTCTATTTTTTTCTTTTCTTTCTGATATGTTCAAAGTAGAGTAGCTACTGGGCACCATTTCCACATATTCTTTCCCCAAAATTTGGACTAAAACAATTATTTGGAGGGAAGACACATGTGCTATTTTTTTTAATATATTTTATTATTTTGTGTGCGTGTACCGTCAAATCAGATCTGACTGGTACAGGAGGAGATTGACCCTTCTTCTCCAGCAGAGCACCTGGTGGATTTGAGCCCATATCTCTGGGATTGCAGTGCAGCTTCTTGCCACTAGGCCACCAGAGTCCCCTACATGTGCTATTTTCTAGTGCTTCCTAAAATATGTTACATATATCACTAATTGCCTCTTAGACAATGTATTATAATATTTGTTTTAATGTAGATTAGAAGACGCACATTTTGCATTAGATGAAGAAAGAAAATATTTCATTTTAAAAAAAAGTTGCTGCCTAGCCGACTCCAATTCATAGTGGCAACATTTAAAAATAACTTCAGTAAATTAAGAAAAAATTATGTCAAAAGGGTACATACTGTACTTACTGAAATGATCCCATTTATATGAAGGTCTAAAATAGGGATGTGGAAAAAAGCATAAGAGAGACGGCCTGTGGGCTTTAGGGAACAGATTCACCAGGCAGGAGCATGAAGACACTTTTGAGGGTGATGAAATTACTTTATCCCTAAATGCTGTTGTTGTTGTTGTTGTGATGAATTGGAGCCAACCAGCAGCTGTGAAAACCAACCTACAGCTGACACAGTGGGTTTTCAGAGATAAACGATGGCACGCGAGACCATTGTCCATCCATCTCTCAAGGAGCAGCTGGTGGATTCAAACCATAAGCCTTTGGGGTTGTAGTGCAGCTTCTTACCACTGGACAATAAATCTTCTAAATAGAAGATTTTTAAAAAGCCCTCTTAGATGCAACTTCTTAGCCAGCAGGCCACCAGAGTTTGAGGTATACAGACATATTTATCTGTCAAAATTCATTCAATTTTCCAGAATGTTTTGGGGGAAATTTGCACACCAAAATACACCAGTTCCTTAGCTACCATTTCTTTCCTTATGGTGGAAAAATATCTTATAAATTGCCCCTCCTGCCCTAAAAGCATTTTGGGGGGCAAGAATACTTAGTTTAGGGAGGCAGCTAAGATTTACACATCTCATGGTACATAAATTATATGTAGTCATTCTATAGTGTCAAACACACATCTAATTTTTTTTTTCTATAGTTGGTAAACCCGTCGCTTTTGAATTGGATCCCCCTTATAGCGATAATACTGATAGCGACTCTCAATCACACTTACAAGCTGTAAATCTCTGCACGGGGAGATTGTTCATCTTGCTCCCAAGAAGTGTGCTAGCGGGTTCAAACTGCCAACCTTTCAGTTAGAAGCCCGACACATTATGCACTAAGCCACCAGGGCTGCTTCTTCTATAGTTCAAAAACTCAATTTACCGCCATAGAGTCAGAACTGACTCATAGCCGACCCTCAAGCAGGTTTTCAGAGGCTGTAAACTGCATGGGAGGAGACTGCCCATCTTTCACCTGAAGAGCAGCTGGTGGATTTCAATTAACTTCTCGTTAGTTGAAAGGAAGGGTATAGGGTCAATGAAGGAGAGGAAGACCCTCAACCAGGTGGACTGACACGGTGACTGCTGCAATGGGCTCTTGTGTGTCAGGAAGTGTGAGGATGGCGCAGGATAGGACAGGGTTCAGATCTTTTGTTCACAGGGTCGCGATGGGTCATGCTTGACTCGACGGCACCTAACAACAACAACACCACTTGTTTTAGTAGAACTAAAAATATTATACTGGCACGCAAATGACTGAACTAGGTAAACGCTGGCATTATGAAAATATTACTGGATTCAGGGAGCTCTGGTGGCTTATTCGTAAGAAGCTGCACTGCAATCCCAGAGGTATGCAGTTTGAATCCACTCAGCTGGAGAAGGAGGGGCAATCTCTTCCTGTACCAGTCAGATACAATTTGACAGTACACACACATGAAATAAAATTTTGAAAAGATAAAATATTACTGGATTCAGAGAGAAAGATTAGCACTGTAATCTCAATGATGTCTCTCAACAGTTGGCTGTGAAAATTTAAATTCATTAAAACTAAATACACTAAATTAAAATTAAATACACATTTTTTTTTAAATTTAGGTTGTTTATTTTTCATTTCAGTGAACATCTACAGAGATTTTGGGATTCCATTCATTCATTGTTGCACCCTT